TACAGTTCAAATCCCTGACCTAGACCCTTGAAAAACATGTGAGGCATGTGTATGTGTGTGCCCAAAATCCCAAAGAGGAGAAGGGATTGTGCTGTGGTCATCTCCCCAGGGAGTGATTTATCACTCTCTCTCTCTCTCTCTCTCGGTCTTTCTCTGTCTCTCTCCAGCAAGCACAAGAACCCTACAGTGAAATAATTAAAAAGCAAAAGCACTAGACCTGTACAACCACTAACACTTGTATAAAATGCTTCCATATACTGGTGAATGTTGTTATGACATGAGTACAAAGGGTCAGGAGAGGACTAGTCAAGCTTTTAAACATCATCAACACGTTGCTCATTTGTCTGTTTGAGAACTCAGCACAGAGAACTTTCAGATCCTAGGAAGTTAAGCCATTGTTCTTTGAATATTTCCTTAGAACTGGAAGAGATGGAACGTTTGTATGGATGACACAAACCTGGTATTCTGCGCTTCCATCTGACATGGGTGCTTTGGGTAATCTGTAAGTTGAATCTATGCTTAGTTAGGGTGACACAACTACACATTTCAAACCAAAAAAAAATGCCATTAAAAATTGATATAAACACCATGACATGGACTAATTTTTCTAGGACATTTTGTCATACAAATCTAGCACTAGCAGTTGCTCGGTAAATATTTGCTGCAGGAATGAATGAAATCCAAACTCTTCCCAAAGTAGGCAGCTCACCCAACAAAAGCAGTTTGGCCTGCAGAAAGGAAAAGGGCTCCAAGCAAAGTTTCCAGAACTCTAGCATGCCTCTCTGTCAGGGTGGAGATCCATGACACTACTCCAGGGAGGGGTTCCAGGTCTGAAAAACCACAACTCAGCTGTCCCCTAGTGAGCCCGGATTTGACCACTCAAGGTCTTCTAAGGGTCCCCAACGTCTACCCCACTCCCTGCTTCTTTAATGGTTGTCAATGCAAGAACAGGCCATTCTGATGGGGTAAAGAACAAGTTTAGATCTTAGAAGTTTTTTTTAACATTTTTAACCATGATGCATAGCAAGAATATATTTTATTTTGTGAATCAGGAAAGACGTCAACCAAAACATAACTAAAATGAGAGTTTCACAACACGGTAGTTATTCTTATGCATTAATGTTCCCCATTCTACTCATATCCGCTCTATCCCATTAAAGAAAAGCGTGACTGACACTATGCTGATTCCACAACCCCGCTAATGGGCTATGACTACACAGGGGGTTCACGGGAAGAGGTGGGCTCAGGCCCTCCACCCCAGGAACCTGTGGCCAAGGGAAGGCAGCCACTTCCTTTGCCCATGCCTGGGAACATGCGTAGGTCTCCGGAAGTGTGATAGGTCTGTTTCCTGGGACCTGACCATGAAAGCTCACACAAGAATCTTAGCTTCTGTATCTGCAATATTATATGGTCATCAGAAACTCCTCACCAGGACCTTCCCTAGGGTGGGAGCCATTTCTTTTTTCTTTTTCTTCCTTTTGAGAATATGTTATTTAACTTCATTTATTTATTTATTTTAAATTTGACCAGAGAGGGACAGAGAGAGGGGGTGGGAGGGAAAGCGAGAAAGCAAGCCCGTCTTGGACACAAAGCATGGTGGACCATGTGAGTCTAGTGCCCTTAACCACCCTGCCACCTACTGGCCCTGGGAGGAGGCTATTTCTGACTGCTCCTGAGAGGGACTCAGAATGCAGAAAGGATGAGGGTGGCAGTGACTGCAGCACAGCTTGCCAAGCAGAGAAATGGTGGCAGCCCAAGGACGGCCCCTTCACTATAAGAATCCCGGGACCAGCAGTTGGCGTAATGGTCATGTCACTGGACTCCCATGTAGTCGATTGCAGTTCAAGTCCTGGACCCGGTGGCTTAAACTCACGCTGGGTGCATGTGTGTGCGTGCCCAAGATCCCAAGAGGAGAATGGAGGAGAAGGGATTGTGATGTGGCCATTCCCCCCCCACCGGGGGGGGGCAGGTGATTTCTTGCTTTCTGTCTCTGTCTCTCTCTGTCTTTCTGGCGAGTGCATGCACCCTATAGCAAAAAAACTCTCAAAAAAAGAAAAAAAAAACAAAAAAAGAATCCCTACAGCCACCACTGCTTCCCCCAAACAGTTCCTCACTCTTTGAGGATCTTTTCTTTTTTAGAGTTTCTTTCTTTCTTTCTTCCATGAGGGAGAGCCAGAGAGAGAGAGGGACAGAGACAGCACCCTCTCTTCAGGGTCTTCATGCTGCAATTCACCCCCAGTCTCAGCCGGCCCTGGATTATGGCAAACTCATGCCTCGAATAGCAGGGAGGTTGTTGGACACTAACTGAGACCCTTCCCCTGTGAATCAACCCCACAGAACGTTGCACTTTCCCACTGTGCGACCATCTGGTCCATGACGTTTAATACAGATTCTTGGGGAGGGAGGATGGGGAGTTTGTCCTCTGATAAAATAAGTGAAGGAAATACTGGGTGGAAAGACGCCTTCTCAGAGCCGGTACGACCTTACGTTACATTGTGACTCTGAGAGCGTGTGGGTAGGGTAGAGAATGCGATTCTTTTCTACCGTATTTGACCACAGAGTCCTTTTTTCCAATAATCCCTGAAGATCTGTGGATCACAGTTTAGGGAATGCTTCTCCAAGTGACTGCTCTCTGTGTCCTCCACTAGCTGGAGCAAAGGCAGACAAGCGACTTCACTCCTGCACACATGCTGACGGGGTCAGGGGTTGGAATGCTTCGCTTGTATCTGACTTTGTGAAAAGTGGTACAACTTGGTCAGCATGTTGAGCAGATCCAGGTCATTTATGTATTTGTCATTTATAGATTTTTTTTTTTGAGAGGTTTTTGCTTTAAGGCACGTGCGCTTGCCAGAAAGACGGAGAGAAACAGAGAGACAGAAAGCAAGAAATCCCCCCCCAGGGGGGATGGCCATGCCACAATCCCTTCTCCTCCATTCTCCTCTCGGGAATCTTGGGCACGCACACACATGCGCCCAGCGTGAGTTTAAGCCACCGGGTCCAGGACTTGAACCGTGGTCGACTACATGGGAGTCCAGCGACATAGCCATTACGCCAACTGCTTGTGCCTTGTCATTCATAGATTCAACTATTCAGAAAAGACCACGGTGGCCTGCGGTGTGGAGTACTATAGAAACTCACTGAGGCTGCCCAAACTAACTGCAGCAGAGCCACTGCACAGTGAGTAAACTGAGCTGATGCCCCCGGTTCCAAATCTCATTGTGACCTTTCTTCTTGATCATTGTAACTCTGAAGAAGTTATATTTTGTAGCATTTTATGCTTTGATTGTATTTGTAGATTCCAAGACATAGGAATATCTCAAGAAAAATTCCTCGTAATCATCAAGAATCTATAGTAATTGGCACCAGCAGATGGCATAGTGGTTATGACACAGGACTCTTATGTAGCCAAGCACGGGTCAAGTCCCAGACCCAGTGGCTTCAAAATCACACTGGGGTGGGGACAGATGGCAGGTAGCATGGTGGTTAGGGCACTGGAATCCCACTTGGCCTACTGCGGTTCAAGTCCTGAACCTGGTGGCTTTCTCTCACTGTCTCTTCTCACTCTGTACCTCTCTGGTCAAATTAAAATAAATAAATAAATAAATACAATAAAGTTCAATAAAATAATTCTTTTTAAAAAAAAAAACACTGGGGAACCAGCAGTTGGCGCAATGGCTATGTCGCTGGACTCCCATGTAGTGACCATGGTTCGAGTCCCGGACCCGGTAGCTTAAACTCACGCTGGGCACGTGTGTGTGCATGCCCAAGGTCCCAAGGGGAGAATGGAGAAGAGGAGATTGTGATGTGGCCGTCCCCCCTGGCGGGTGATTTCTTGCTTTTTGTCTCTCTTTTTCTCTCTGTCCTTCTAGTGAGTGCATGCGCCCTATAGCAAAAACCTCTCAAAAAAAAAAAAAACCAACAACAACGAAACAAACAAAAGAAAAACCCACACACTACATGCATGTGTGTGTGTGTGTGTGCCCAAGATCCTGGGAGGAGAATGGAGGAGACGGGTTTACAGTGTGACCATTCCCCTGGGGGGTGATTTCTCGCTTTCCTTCTCACTGTGTCTGTCTGTCTGTCTCACTCTGGCAAACACACCAAGGTGAAAAAAAAGATAATAAATTTAAAAAAAACTCAAAATATAAAGAACCTACAGTAATTTAAGTTTGAACTTTTATCAGTCTGAAGGTCCCCTGTACATCTGGGTGAATTGTGCCCTGTGCCCTCCAGGGGGCTCAATTCATACAGACTGAGCTGAAAATGAGGTCTTTGAGTTGTGTGACACACTGGTGTCCTCTGAAGACATACTTTAAAATCTAAAACCAAAACAGAGTTATTGGTCAGAATGTCCAACTTTTTCATTCAGTGACACTTGTATTTTCTAGGAAGAGCAGCATCTCAGAGTGGGAGTGGGTGAAGGTCTTAAAGACTGGATTCAGGCTCCGGGTGGTATCACAGCCTTGACCCAACTGGACCTACACAGGCACAGTCCTGGACCTTTCCAAGCATGCCGGGTGCATGAGGGTGCGCCCCTGATCCAGGCTAGAGGTGTGAATACCCTATTGGGGTGCTTCTCTCTTCTTCATGGAAAAAGAATGACAAACGAATGAAGACTAGACCTCCCGGCTCTCCAGCTCTCTTTAGAAAATCTAAGACTCGGGAACCAGCAGTTAGCATAATGGCTATGTCGCTGGACTCCCACGTAGTCACCCGCCGTTCACGTCCTGGACCCGGTGGCTTAGAACTCACGCTGGGCACGTGTGTGTGCATGCCCAAGATCCCGAAAGGAGAATGGAGGAGGGATTGCGGCGTGACCATCCCCCCGGGGGTGATTTCTCACTTTCTGTCTTTCTGTCTCTATGTCTCTCTCTGTCTGTCTGGCGAGCGCACGCGCCCTATAGTGAAAACCTCTCAAAAAAAAAAAAAATCTAAGACTCAGTTCTGTCACTAGTAAAACAGAAATGACATAATCATCCCACCGAGCTGAGAGAAGATACAGCATTATAAATCTCTTTCCCAATGCCACTAGTTGTCACCTGTGAAAGCCAAGTCCTATTGCTGCTCCTTGTCCTCAGGCTTTGGACCCAGGTTGGCCACCTCACGGCCTGTGACACTGGGAAAGTCTCAGGAAGAAGCAGGTTGCAACACAGTTGTTCATGCACGGTAGTTTCTCAAAGAGGGGTCTAAACCTTACATTTTATTCCAAGCCTGGGAAAGGTGAAAACCTTGCACAAGTGGAGCCTTGCCCAGATTCCCTCCACTTGCTTCTAAATGTTTTTTTCTTTTTGCTGCCATGTGATAGGCATTACATAATTTCTCAGAATGAAAAGCTAATTTCTCAGTGAGTTCCATGTAGATGCATCATCATATTTATACCCGCACCCCGCAAAAAAAGCCCAAAACGCACCCCTGGTCTCAGAGGCACCGGTTTGAGGGCAGCATCTCTTGTATTACTTAACAGAGTAAGAGAAGGAGAACTTCGCAAAACCTCTCCAGAGCTCGTTTTATGATGTGGGATGTCACAACACTAAAATGCGTGTTCTTTAGGTACATAAGAGGGAATTTAGAAACGATTGATCCAGTTACATCTCATACCATGGTTAAAAATAAATCACACTAATGATTTCTTAACCAACTTGCAAAATTTAACCACTCTTTTCCATTCTTCTTCCCAGCATCCCTTCCCTCCTTTCAGTCTTTCTCTACAGACCTGTTCTCCCTGATGTCCCAGAACCGTGGGAGATGGTGACCGTTGTCTTTGTGTTAGCACTTGCCTCTGTGTAGCCCGCTGTGTCTCCCCGAGTGTCGCCCGTAATGTCCCCTCCAGTGTCCCTGCTTCTGCAGAAACCTTTCGGCCTGGACTGTCTCGGGAGTAGCAATTTACAGGCAGCTGCTCGATACTTCTTCGAAATGAGGTTGTAGAGGATTGGGTTGATGGACGCGCTCAGATAGAAAAGTTGCAGCGCGACGATGTTGAAGTACTGAGAGAAGTACATCATCCGGGAGCCTTCCGTGTTTATGTAAATGATTCTGCCAACGTGGAAAGGCAGCCAGCACACTATAAATGCCAGAACCACCACCACTGCAAAAGGAGACACAGGGCTGCAATTAGCAAAAGCATCCGAAAGCAAGAAGAGCTCCTCAAGAAGCCATCTGTCTAAGTGGCAGCCAAGGACACTACCTACCACTCTTACCTAGTCAGAGCCCCGCCCCAGGAAAACACCAGGCTGCAGAATGCACGGATACCTGCTTTCTATCTGTGTGGACGTTATCAAGGTCGGACATATACACCAGAAGGAGCCGTTTCTTCTAACGAGCCCTTTCGACAGGCTTCCTTCCACAAACCCACTTTTAGAGACGTGTTCTCTGGTCTCTGCTGAAAGTATTCTGCAAAGGGCTGCACGATTTACTTTTTGATAATGGGTATGGTTCATTTTAGCCTTCAGGATAATAACGTGGACTAACATGTTTAGCTTAAATCGATCTACCCCATTTTCTCAAAGGCGTTGTGAGTTAAACATCTACAGCATCTAACAAAGGCCTTGGTGTAAGAGCCTCCAACGACCCATCCCGGATCTAGCAGCTTTGGAAAATTATTGCCATCACCAGACCCAGTATCCCACTCTCAGGGCTCCTAGGGCTGCTTTTCTCTGGAGACAGGAAGCACAGGTGGGTGCAGGCTGGAGGAGAAATCTAACAGGGGATGCAGCGAGGAGAGGCGCGCAGGGCTGGGCGAGCCGGCGAACGGGGCGCAGAATTGGCGCGGCGGGGCTGGCGGTACAGGTTGGGAACAGGAGAGGCGCCACTTACGCAGGACGCGGACCGTCTGCCGGTGGCCCCTTTCCCGCCCGGAGGTCGCAGGGCCTCGTAGCGGCCCCCGGATCCTCCACAGCTCCCGCCCAATGAGTCCGTAGAGGACACTCAGGCACAGGAAAGGCAGGAAGAAGTAGGCGGTGGTGACCCACAGCATGACGCGCAGCGCGCCCAGCTGCGCCAGGCTCGGCCGGCACTCGCGGCTGAACAGCGCCGCGGCCTCCGCGGCCGGGGGCCCCGACGACGGGGTCGGCAGTGGCATCTGCGAGTCGGGAGACAAAGGGGTGGGCTGGACAGTGCCATTAAAGTCCGGGGCTGTGCGGTTGCGGGGGTCCTGCTCGACGCCCACCAGAAAGAAGAAAGGGCCGGCGGAGATCAGCGCCACCGCCCAGAGCGCGGCGATGAGTGCGCGGACGCGGCGTCGGGTGACCAGGACGCGGGCGCGGAGCGGGCGACAGATGGCAAGGTAGCGCTCGACGCTGAGCGCCGTCATGTGCAGCAGCGTGGCGTAGGTGCAGCCCTCGCCCAGGTAGAGCGACAGGCGACAGAGCAGCGGCCCGAACACCCAGGGCCGCGAGCGCCACAGGCGGTACAGGTCGAAGGGGAGCCCCAGCAGGATGAGCAGGTCGGACACGGCCATGCTGCCCAGGTACAAGTTGGTAGTGGTCCGCATGTCCCGGTAGCGCCCGATCAGCAGCACCGTCACCACGTTGCCGCTCACTCCGACGGCGAACAGGCACAGACACACGGCGGTCACTGGCACCAGTGCCCCCAGGGGGAAGGGCGAGCAGCGGCGCTCGTCGCACGGCGGCAGCGCGGCCCACGGTGGCTCCCGCGCGCCCTCGGGGTTGTCGCTGCTGTTCCAGGGACTGCCCATGGGCGCGGTGCCCCGGGAAACTAGCGCGTGGCCCTGCTCGCGGGGCGTTTCTTTTCTCAGGCCTCGCACAGCTGGCGTGCGGGACCCGACCACAGAGCCGCTGCCAGCGCACACGCGGCCCGGCCCGCCCCCGCCCCCTTCCCCCGCCCCGCCGGGCACCCGCGCCCTCTATCAGACCGGTGGTATTCGGGGCAATTCCTCTTCGCCAGCTGGAACCCGGAGGCCGCGGCCACGAAGGTGGTGGTGCCCAGTCTCAAGGAGCGAATTCTGAACCCCACGGAGCTGGTTACGGGACCCGGCGCAAGACAGGCGCTTTTGGGTACGAAAGGGACCTTCTTAGGGACCTAGATTGCTGACACACAATGATCACAAGGAAGTCGCATCCTAACTCAATAGTGGGAGAGGAATCTAGAGCCCCTCTGGGGTTCTAGTCCTGGCTCTACAACCCAGTACGTAGCTGTTTGAACTTAGACCTATCCTTGCCGAGCCCAGTTCTCCACGCTCGTGAACTGCAAAGTGGAGATGGAGCGAGTTGACAAAATAATTGAGCGAACAATTTCAGGGGTCCCTGAAATCTATGCACACGAGTACATCTACTCATTATAAAGAAAAAAGACTTAAATGTTTACATGCACACTGGAGTGCCTTCACATGTGGTAGGCTGTTATGTAAAAAAATGTTTTGAAAATTTCAACTGCTTACCAGCACCAGAGAGAAAACACGTGAAAAGGACTAAAACAGATGTATGAGTCAATCCGTTGTGATCTAAATGACAACAGCCAACTGCTGATGAGTGCTTAGATCGTGTCTGGCCCCGTGCTTTTCACCTAAGCCTATGTCCTTAGACCCCTTCTGCCTGTGAACAAAGAGGGTTCGCTGGAGATCAAACAGGTGAGACTGAGATTTGAACTGGAGTCTTGTGAATCCCTGAACCCACAAGCCGGATGCCCTGGCACACTCCCCACCCTACCTGCCCTGTGGTCTTCCCCTCAGTCTGTCCTCACTAAAGGCCTGCATAATGCTTCTGAGCTCTCTCTGTGTGGATGAACAGGCGTCTAGCATTTTTTTCATCCATCCCATTGTGATTTAAATCCCCCCCCTCCCTCTCTCTTCCCATCTCCTTTCTGGACCTGAAACCTGGCTTCCCTGTAGAGACTTGCTTCCCTGCAGTTCTCTCTGACATGCAGCAGCCAGGGGTAGGAGGGCAGTACCTGTCACCTCCCTCATCACTTAGCTCCCAGTCTCACTTCCTCAGCCTCCTCCATCTCCAGCTCCCTCTCCTCTCCTGAGTGTTTGGTGCCTCACCATCTCTCTCAAACACTGTCCTTGATAAAACTCACACCCACATATGTGAGTCTTGCAAAGCCTTGGCCTAAGGTTAGAAAATCTTTCTATCAATGACCTTGTCCTTCATCCACCTCAGCCAGCCACGCCTGTGGGTGTACATTGTACCTGGCCAGTACCAGGTTCCCGAGCCCTCCTCCATCTCAGCTTCCGTCTTTCCATTTCTGACCTCCATCCCCTCTCGTTCTAGCTCACTTTCCCTCATCCCTCAGTTCCTGTGATCCTTCGACCCTACTAGGACATCCATCAGTTTATTCCTTGTACCTTTATATTGCCCCTCTCTGCTTCATGTCCACATCTTCCTCCTTGCCCCACCTTGAGTCCCACGAGCAATCACACTCACTCCCATGCACATACCCTCAGCTTGCTTGCTCTGTTCTCCATTGTCATACTGTCCACTCAGCCAGAGCACAGGCACACCCTGGTGAAGCCAAATCGGCACATGCTCCCAAACAGCTGCTGAGTCGCTTCACTAGAAGTGCTTCATTTCCCTTGGCTGACCTAGCGCGTAACTGCCTCACTCTCCCACCCTGGGGATCCTCCTCTTTCCTTAAACCCTGGCATTTCCTCCCCATCATCACTCTCAGTTGGTGACCTTGTACTCTGTTTCTTCGGGGGGGGGGGAACAAAGACAAAAAACAAACAAACAAAAACCCTCCAAAAAGTAGAAAACGAAAACCAGAAGCACACTGAAACTTCTGCACTTCATGCTCCCACGCTGTCCTGCCCGCGCTCCCCTGGAGGGAGGAGTGAGTTGGTGTTACTCCAGCTGACATCAGCTCTGCCCCTGCAGCACCGCATTCACTGCCTCTCGCTGTTCTCCCTCCTTACCTCTAGACAGAAAATGCAGTGTCTTCATCTGTAGTTGATCTACTTTTCTCTTGAGCTCTCCCTTCCTGCCTAGCAGGAGAAAAGGGAAGATCTAGTCTGAGCCCAGTTTGATCGACTAAACAAGCCCTCTAGGGCGGGCTCTGTGATGCAGTGATAATGCGTTGCTCAAGAAAAGCTGGATTGCACAGGGTGACCTCGGCTCGAGTCCCTAACCTGGTTTGTCTGAAGCATGCCAGGCACACACGTGAGTGCCCAGGACCTAGTGAGCTAGAGGACTGGAAGAAGGGGATCATTGTGATCAGATCCTATAGAGGGTTCTCCTTTCTCTCTTTTCTCCCACGTGTGCACAAATATGTTCTATATAAATAATAAAAAAAAACTTCACACAGATCCTCTAGGTAGTGTTCATTTTTCTCAGATAACATGCCTTTCCCTGAGTCAGTCGAAGGAGTGCTCAGCTGCCTTGAAGGTCCTTATGACTCCAAAAAGTAGAAAACGAAAACCAGAAGCACACTGAAACTTCTGCACTTCATGCTCCCACGCTGTCCTGCCCGCGCTCCCCTGGAGGGAGGAGTGAGTTGGTGTTACTCCAGCTGACATCAGCTCTGCCCCTGCAGCACCGCATTCACTGCCTCTCGCTGTTCTCCCTCCTTACCTCTAGACAGAAAATGCAGTGTCTTCATCTGTAGTTGATCTACTTTTCTCTTGAGCTCTCCCTTCCTGCCTAGCAGGAGAAAAGGGAAGATCTAGTCTGAGCCCAGTTTGATCGACTAAACAAGCCCTCTAGGGCGGGCTCTGTGATGCAGTGATAATGCGTTGCTCAAGAAAAGCTGGATTGCACAGGGTGACCTCGGCTCGAGTCCCTAACCTGGTTTGTCTGAAGCATGCCAGGCACACACGTGAGTGCCCAGGACCTAGTGAGCTAGAGGACTGGAAGAAGGGGATCATTGTGATCAGATCCTATAGAGGGTTCTCCTTTCTCTCTTTTCTCCCACGTGTGCACAAATATGTTCTATATAAATAATAAAAAAAAACTTCACACAGATCCTCTAGGTAGTGTTCATTTTTCTCAGATAACATGCCTTTCCCTGAGTCAGTCGAAGGAGTGCTCAGCTGCCTTGAAGGTCCTTATGAAACCAGAAGTGAGGGGTCACCTAGCTTCATGCTTGCTCCTCGGGTTCCTAGGCTAGCCTTTGCTAGTCTTCAACCCCATGTTCCCTTCCCACCTGATCACCCGCTGCTCTGCCAGCCTCAGAGGCAAAGGTCTGTGGTAGTGAATGTGTGGTCCCTTTCTATGGCTCAAGCAATGCTCCTGGGGACAGCTGACATTTCTCCTGGCTCTCATGGGCTGTGGACCCCTGAGTCTCTTTCACTATTTCATTCTACTCCATGACCTGGTGGGCCACCCCTAGCCTCTGCTGAAGGTTCCCACTCCTTGCTCCTTCCACTGTGGTGGCTCAGAGAGCAGCTAGGTGGGTCCTGTCAGTGTCCACGCCCACTATACCCTCTCCCTGTCTGAGTGCCTCTCTGAATAGGCAGGCGTTGTTCACCCTTCATTCTGACACTCCCATTTGTGGCTGGGTTTTCTCTGTATAACTTATCAACTGACATACTGTTTAATTTACGTAGCTATTTGTTACCTCTCTCTACATTGCCCGGTGTTACATGTGCCAGAGGCAGGCTTTAATCCATTGTGTTCATAGCTTTTTCCCTAGTGCCTGGATCAATACCTGGCACAGACAAAGAACTTGATGTTTGTTAACTCAGAATGAATCAACTGTAGAACCAGGTCCCATTATTTTCGTTGCAATTCTCAGTGGTTAAGAATGGTACTCTGATTGCAGCTGGTGCTCAGTAAGTGTTCATTGATAATCTCGTTGAGATAGACTATTGATGTGGAGAGAGGGGTTCACAGCGGGCTTTGTCAATAGCGTTGCTACACTGAGGCTCAAGTATGACTTGGATCTTAGGGTGTAGATGAACCCTTGCTTATAATGAGCCCTTGGCTTTTTTGTTTGTTTGTTTGCTTGCTATAGGACATGTGTGCTCACTGGGGAGAGACAGAGATAGAAAATGAGAAATCACCCCACCCACCCCAGGGGGGATGGCTATGCTGCAGTCCCTTCTCCACTCTCCTCCTGGGATTCTGGGTATGGACACACAGGCATCCATCATGATTTTCAAGCCATTGGGTCTGGGACTCGAACCATGCAGTCAACCATGTGGGATCCAACTGTCCAAACCTCCACAGTGCCTGCTGGCCTGGCATTCCATGTTTTAGGAAGAGATGCGACTGGATAGCTGGAGAACTGATCTAATCTGTTTTCTTTTTATTTTTTAAAGTTTATTCTCGGAGTGAGAGATATACAGAGAGAAAGAGAGAGCACCCCCAACAGGGTCCTACACAGATCCATCCCCCGCTTTAGCCAGCTCTGGATCATGGGTACACACGTGCCTAGATGCTCAGGAAGGCCTCTGGACATGAACCCAGAATCTTCTCATGTGAGTCAGCCTCACAAAGCACTGTGTTACTGCTGCACCACTGTGCTGCCCAAATCTGTTTTTTGCTTTCTATTTTTAAAAATAATTATGTTTATTTTAACTTTATTTGTTATTATTTTCCAATTTGATGAGAGAGGAGAGAGAGAGAGAGAGAAAGTGAGAAAGCAAACTACCAGGTCCAGTGGTCCAGTACTTGAACTGTGGTCACCCATGTGGGAGTCCAGAGCCTTTAACCACCATGCCACCTGCTGGCTCCTTTACTTTGTATTTTTATAATAATTCACCAGTTTTCTGGCTTCAAATTTCCTCTGGGGAGAGGAAGTTCCCAGAAGTCCAGGAGTGTAGTCATCTCCTCTAGCCTAGGAGTACCTTTCTTATGTGATTCTCATGTGGGGCAAG